AATATAATATATAAACATATAAATGTAGCAGAGTGCACGTAACTTCGTAACTTCGCAGCTTATAAGACCTTCCGTTGCCCTGTGTGCACACAAAAGTTTAGAAATTTAAAGAAAAACATTTGAAAATTTTCCGGAATCTGTACTCCTAAAATTCCCTGTATTTCGTAACATCTCACTACCAACATTACTTAGTAAATATATATATATATGATTTTAGTTCATCAGTCTCACACACTAGACTGTCACATCAGGTGTATTGTTTTCTCAGGTGTCAGGACAGTGATCAGCATCGCCAGGGGTCGCCAGCTACCGCTACACGTGCCTGAAATACGATAGAGAAACAGTAAGTTTGCTCTCATTAAATCATGTCCGCTTTGCAATCGTTCTGACGGCATTTTCGATTTTTCCATAAAAAAAATGTTACAAGCATATTTTTCCCACATTAAATATTCACATCTATTAAATCTTCGTAGCTCTGAAATTAAACCCTTTTATAAATACACGGATAATTATCATCGTTTTAGTTCAGATTTGTCACGTGTATGTCATGACTAGGTGTTAATGTTTTTACACGTGCATTCCTTAATCAAACGCAGCCGCATGCGGGCGTACAGTGTGAGATGGAAACAAATTTGAAACTTCTTCTAATTACGAGAGATGAAATGAAAAACGGAGAGCATTCATTCAAAACACAACGGTTACATATTTTGGCATGGAACAAAGTGTGCACACAATTTAACATGAAATTTGTTGGCGACGGACATTTTAAATTTGTACCTATATCGGTAGATTACACGCCGGGAGTACGAATCTCGGTCAAGCCAGCTGGCGCAACAAACTTTCCTGATGACAACTACCACGTGGTACCCAAGCCTGGCGTGGGCTTAGATAATACGTGCTGGTCCGTCTGTACGGCAGTAGCGGAAAGCAATATGATCAGAAGTTTCCATCCAGTTTATCGCCAGGCTCTAATCACAGCAAAGGTATTTCTTGATCCTCGAGTACATGATTGTTATTATAAGTGTGGAAATATTATATCGAATATAAGGATGAGTTGCGTACAGACAGTGGCGTTGCATATTTAAGCGGAAAGCACATAGACGTTTTTTAGCTGTATATCGCCACTCACTTTTGGCCTAGGAAACTAATCGACTCCTACCTCCTAAAACTTGTACTGCTTCATGTCGCATCACTCAACCCAGCGGATCCGTTGCCGTTCCCAGTAATCGTGCGTAAAATATTTAAGTATGTACAATCGTGTACAAATAAGCGCAACATATATATGCCGCATCCTTATATTGATAATTTCAATGTTTTGGCCGAGGACTGCGGTAAAACATTCATAACATACGGGCCGGTCGCGTATTTGCGTGAACGGCACTTGGATGAGTTACTGGGACGTCTTGATAGCGGTCCGCTGGTGAGTGAGAGCGGACTTACAAAGTTCAGTGCTGAGGAGCTGTGGGAGGAGATGGAGTAGTCGGTCAGTGAAGCGTGGCCTAAACATGTAGCAGATATCAAACGCTCGTTTATTAACGCTTGTACTGTACTGGGAAAGGTTGTTGTTGATCTCATGCAGCAAGGAGTAGAGATAATCCATTGTAGCAGATTGTAGCATCGTAAAATTGTAGAGTTGTTAGCAGCGTAGAGTTAGCAAATGGTAGCAGATTGTAACAAAGAGTAAAGACGAAGCAATAGCGTAGCGAATGCAGTTACCCGCATCCTCCACCAATTATTGTAGTTCGAATAGGGTTGTTTATCTCCGCTCCGGTGTAGCGCGAAATTTCTGACTTGCGAAATATCTGAGATAGGATGCCTATGCGCATGCGTACGCGTATGCGCATGCGCACTTCGCATGCGTCCTGACCCGACTAATCACAGCTCGTCTTTGTGTGCGAAATTTCTGACCTGCGAAATATATGATATAGGATGCGTATGCGCATGCGCACTTCGCATATATGCTCAAAGATGGCGATTTCCACTTCAGCTAAAGGACACCAGCTGTGC